GTAGTGTAACGGGCTGAACGCCCTTTGGATAGCTCCTCGATGGAATCTCGGTCAAGCAGCAGACGCCAGGTCTTACTCTGCAACCCGGCATCTGTGCGAGGCCTGAGCGGCGCCCAGACGACGCGCTCAGACACTTGGTGCAACCTTTCTCTGACAAGTAAATAAACACCACGCAAGTAGACTCTATAGCTCTCTATCGAATACAACCTCTTGTATACCTCGCGATTGCTCCCTAGAGCGCAGCCCCTTACATTTTGTATTCGATCCCAATTAGACATAAGCCTTAGGTAGACTGTCTTCTAACTAAGTTTTAGAGCGTGTTGTTAGTGCGAACTAGTAACACAGAGTTAGTGCTGCAATAGGTACGAAAGGCCTTTAGTGCAGCGAGAAGGTAGACCGTCGCAAGACAGTACACCTAGGGCAGAGCTTCGCAGGAAGTTCAGCCGTGAGAGACAGTAGGCGATTTAGTCGCCTGGGACCTGTCTAGGAAGTCCTACCATGTCTTGGAAAGCCGAGCCGTAGGCGCAACGTCGCGTGATAAACTACCTAAAGGCCACTCGGGCCTAGCGTACAGTTAGCTAGAAGCGGACGTTGTAGTAAGAAGTCCTGTCGATCCTCTATTGGACGGGGTGCAGGCCGTGCGATTACTCTCAATCGGAGACAAGATCCCACGAGCGAGACGGCAAGACGCAAGTCTTCCTAGGGACGCGACACGACAGCAGCCAAACGCTGTTTAGAACTGGCTAGAAGAGAAGTACAGCCAAAGGTAAGCCCTACTAGTCCTCACTAACGAGGAGTAGGCCGCAGTCAAGGACTGCGCGAGTAGATTGAAGGACGATCGGAAGCCCTGCACACCGGCAGGCAAAGACAAGAGACGTCTGAAGACGAATTAGACAATAGAGGCCAACGCTCCTAACTTGAACGTTGAAGAGCTAGCGGCTTACGCCACCACTAAGAGCCAGGCAGGAGTCCCGGACGAAGAGATCCTGCGTGAGATCACGCAGATGCTGAGAGAGGACGGATGGAAGGAAGCAGCGATTAGGCCAACGATCAAAGCAGTCGTTAAGCGATCATCAGTCGTAGGGGGGAAGGGCTCACCAAGGCAGGAGGGCTCACCGAAAGCTAATCAGAACGCCGTGGCCCAAGTAATGGAGCAGATGATGCAGCTGCTCAGCCCAATGGCTAGTCGCCTAGAGGCACTTGAGAGGAACCAAGCCGAAGGACGTTCGGAGTCATCCCCAAGAGTCGACACTCCTCCACCACCGCTAACAACAGTCGCCGAGCCAGCAGCCCGCAAGAATAAGTTTCCCGACCTAGAGCGTTTTAATGGGACACGTGATAACTACCTAGGTTAGAAATTTGAGTGCGAAGGGAAGCTAGAGTACGACTACGCCATGTTCCTAACAGAGGACGCAAAGGTCTGATACGTGCTTAGTCGAACGAAGGGCAAAGCAAACTAGGTCCTTCTTCCCTGGGTGCTTGAGAATAAGGAACGAACTACGGCCGGCCTATGGGAGCACATGGATACTCACTTCTAAGACGTGCACCAGCAGCAGCGTGCGCTAAACAAGCTTCGGCACTTAAAGCAAGGACGACGACCAATACGCGACTATGTCTCGGAGTTTAACTAGCTTCACGTAGAGTCCTAACAGCAGTTTAGCCTAGCAGTAGCTTGTGAGATGTTTAGTGAGGGACTTGGAGAAGAGCTCTAAAAGCTAATGCTCTATACTCTAAAGAACGGAAGTCTAAAGGAATATATAGACAAGGCAATCAAGCTTTCCAATGACCTATACCGGATCCAGTTGCACGGGAGGAATCGAAGGAACGCGGCCTACAGTCATGCGCAAGCTCCCCCGAAGGTCGCTCAGCGAGATGCTAGTCTAGAAGCGATGGACTGGGAGCCCTCGAAGGCCAATCGGGCACGGGAAACGAAGGATAGACTAAGGCGGTCCCCACTAGACTGCTACAGCTGCGGCGAACTGGGCCACATCGCTAGAAACTGTCCGAACACCACTTGGGTTAAGAGAGCCGTTCCCCTAAGCGAAGGGCAGAGACGCCAGAAACAGATCGAATGCCCAGACGATAGCGACTCGGAAAAAGAGTAGCTCTGGGCTAGAGTCTCGGCCCAGAGCCTCTGAAGATGGATCGGCAGACACGTAGCGAATGGAATCAGTTTTAGCAGAAGCATATACGTCCCCCACCAATTACTGTAGATCTTATTGTGAACAACGTAGCAAACGCTGTCGCGCTTATAGACTGCGAATGCCTATGCTATGCACTAATTAGCAAGAGATTCGCTTACCGCCACTGTCTAGAGCGCTTTTAGATCCCCTCTCAGATAATTGAGGGAGTGAACAGCAAGCTGTTAGAGATTAGCGAGGTCGCCTGATTCTTGTTTAAGATGCATAGGTACGAAGAGACTGCTTATGCATACGTGATGGACTTGTCCTCTAGTAAGGACGTGTACCTTGGCAGGGGATGGATAGACCACTAGGACGTATCAGTATCTCCTGCTAAGAAGAGTATTTTTATCTACTTAAAGGGCATTTGAGTAAGGTCGACTAAAGGACGCCTACGAGGAGGAGTTAGCTAAGTCAACGCCGCAGCGTTTGCGGCCTTAGTTCGTAGGCATAAGAACGCTCTAAATAGCGTTTAGATCTTCGCCGCGTTGATTGTAGACATTAATAAGGCGCTACAACTAAAGAAGCCTGTAGATGTACGAGCGCTGCTACTAACACAGTACTAGGAGTTCTATAAGCTCTTTAACCCGAAGTAAGCAGAGAAGCTTCCACCGCACCAAGGGCCAGGGGTGGACCACAAGATCAAGCTAGAGCCGAAGGATGCTCAGCCACCGTGGGGACCCCTCTATAGCATGTCGCGCGGAGAGCTCCTAGTCCTTAGAAAGGAACTTACATCGCTTCTTGAGAAGGGATTCATCCGCGTAAGCAGCTCGCCAGCTGCAGCGCTAGTATTATTCGCCAAGAAACCTAGAGGAGGGCTCCGACTGTGCATCGATTATCAAGCTCTGAACGCAATTACTAAGAAGGACTGGTACCCGCTACCCCTTATCTAAGAGACACTTAACAGCTTAAGCAAGGCTAAATGGTTCACAAAGTTGGACGTTATCGCAGCCTTCTACAAGATCCGTGTCGCACCAGGCGATAAGTGGAAGACAGCCTTCCGAACAAGATTCGGACTGTTTGAGTGGCTAGTTACCCCCTTTGGCATGGCGAACTCCCTAAGTACTTTTCAACGATATATTAACTAGACCTTGAGAGAACACCTAGATGACTTCTGCTCAGCATACCTGGACGACGTACTAATCTACACCGATGGCGATCTGCGCCAGCACCGAGAGCACGTCCGAAAAGTGCTTAGCAAGCTGCAAGCCGCAGGGCTACAGGTGGACATCAAGAAGTGCGAGTTTGA